TCCTGTTGATTCTTTCTATAGTTTTTCTGTTTTCTATCCCATTTATTTCTTCTCTAATCTTTATTACTTTTTTTCTTTTGGTGGCTGTAAGTATCCTCTGTTGGTCTGTTTCTAATTGTTGGACATGCCATGTTAATGTGTTAATTTTGGTTCTTTCTTCTTTTTGGTTGTGTGCATTTATTGCAATAAATTGTCCCCTCAGCACCACTTTCGCCGTGTCCCAAAGATATTTGGTATGTGTGTTCGTTCTCATTTGTTTCTAGGAACTTTGTGAGTTCACGTTTTATTTCTTCTACTATTCAGTCACTTTTCAGCAAGGTGTTATTCAGTTTCCATGTATTTGATTTTATTTCCTTGATCTTCCTATTGTTGATTTCTAATTTGATAGCATTGTGGTCTGAGAAAATTATTTGTAGTATTTTGATATTGTAAATTTATGGAGGCTTGTTTTGTGGCCTAAAATGTGGTCTATTCTGGAGAATGTTCCATGTGCACTGGAAAAGAATGTGTATTGTGCTGTTGTTGGGTTGAATGTTCTGTACACATCTATGAAGTCCAGTTGGCTGATTGTGTTGTTTAGTTCCTCCATGTCTTTGTCAAGGTTCTCTCTGGTTGTTCTATCCATTTTTGAAAGCTGTGTATTAAAATCGTCCACTATTATTATAGATTCATCTGTTTCTTTCTTCAAATCTATTAGAGTTTGCTTTATATATTTTGGTACTCTTTCACTGGGAGCATAAATATTTATTATGGTTATGTCATCTTTTTCAATTGCCCCTTTAATCATGAGATAATGTCCATCTTTAACTATTATGCTGGTTTGTGCCTTGAAGTTAATTTTATCAGAGATTAGTACTGCCACTCCTGTTTGTTTTTTATTGCAATTAGCTTGGTATATTGTTTTCCATCATTTGACTTTTAATATGTTTTTTTATCTCTGTGTGTTAGATGTGTCTCTTGCAGACAGCATATTGAAGGATCTTGTTTTCTTATCCATTCTGCTACCCTCCGTCTCTTAACTGGTACATTTAATCCGTTCACATCAGTCTAATTATCGATTGTTGTTGTTTTTAAGTTCCGTGGAGTCAGTTCCGACTCATAGTAATGCTGCACAGGGTTTCCGAGCCTGCAAATCTTTACAGGAGCAGAAAGCCTCATCTTTCTTTCGTGGAACAGCTGGCAGTTTCGAGATGCCGACCTTGAGGTTAGCAGCCTGATTAGTATTATCCATAGATAATATATTTTGGTGCCATAAACAAACATAATTGCTGCCCTTATGTTTGTTTTTTTGTGGTGCTGCTGCTTTCTTTGTTCTGCGTGTCTTCCTGTGCTGAGTTCAGGGTTTTTATGTTCTTTCTTGTCAGTTTCCTCATAGTTTTAATGTTTCCATGTTCTTCTTGGATTTTCATTTTCTTGGTATGTTGTGAAGTGTTAATTTTCTTTGAAGTTACCTTGTTGTTGTTGTTGTTGTTATGTGCCATGGAGTCGGTTCTGACTCATAGCGACCATGTACAGGGTTTCCGAGGCTGTTAATCTTTACGGGAGCAGAAAGCCTCATCTTTCTCCCACGGAACAGCTGGTAGTTTCAAACTACTGACCTTGCGGTTCGCAGCCCAATTCATAACCACTACGCTACCAGAGCTTATATTCCATTAACTTTTCTCTCCATTTAGTGCAGTCTGTTTTATCCTGTAATCTGTCTGACCTTCTCATCATTAGTAGCTCTGTTCCTACGTGTTTACCTTCTTTCACATTGTAATTGTTTTGATGATAGACTGTCCTTCCAGATCCTCTGAGTTTGTTCTTACAGTTTGTTCTGTTCTTGACTCTTCCCATTTGTCAATTGAGTTCCGGGAGTTGCTGCCATGTATGTCAATCTCTGGTTGTTGTCTTTTCTTGTTGGTTCTTAGTCCACAGAACTCCCTTTAGGATGTTTTTCAGCGCAGGGTTGGCTTTGGCAAAATCCCTTAGCTTCTGTTTATCCTGGAATTTTTTTATTACACCACCGTATTTGATTGATAGCTTTGTGGATAAAGGATTCTTGGTTGGCAGTTTTTTTCTTTAAGGGTGTTATATATGTCTCCCTATTGCTTTCTTGCCTGCGTGGTTTCTGCTGAGAGATCTGAGCTTAATCTGACTTGCCTGCCTTTGTGTGTATAACGCTTCTTCTTTCCGTAGCTGCCTTCAGGATTTCTTCTTATCTTTGATTTTGGAGAGCTTGATTATTATATGTCTTAGTGATTGTCTTTTAGGGTCTATTCTTCCTGGGTTTGTTGTGCTTCTTGAATGCTTATCTTTTCACTTTTAAGGATGTTAGAGAAATTTTTTTCCAGAAGCTCTTCAGCTATCTCCTCTGTGGACTAGTGTGATTTTTTCCTGTTCTGGAATACCAATAATTCTTAAGTTATTCCTCTTCATGTTTTCCAACACGAGCCTTAAACCTTCTTCAGATTTTTTTTTTATCCTTTTTTTCAGCTTGCTCTTCTATTTTAGTAGTATTGAGAGATTTTCTTTCAGCTTACTAGTTCCGCCTTCCGTCTCTTCTGTTTACTCCTTTGCCCTTTCAGAGTGTTGTCTATTTTTTGATATTCTACTATTAATTCTTTGGCCCTCCTTCTGTAATTTTTAATTGTTTCCAATTCTGTATCTTATCTTATTTGATTGTTCCTGTAGCACTTTCCTGACTTCTTCCTTATTTTTCTCAATGCCTTTGTAAAGTGTTTTGAAGCATTTTATAATCATTTTTCTGAATTCCTTCTCAGGCATTTCCAAGGCCTGCCCTCCTTCCAGAATGGAATCCAGGTCTACCTATAGATCATTTGTCTCAGACATTTTTCTTGTTTCTGGACATGTGCTAATATGGTCATCTGCTTTTGCTTCTTGGACATGTTCAGTGGTTAGCTTTGGCCTTAATACTTAATTGAATGTTTTGGTATTTTTTATGCTTTCTGATTG